CGAGCCGAAACTTAGAACAACTGACTAGTTTCCTGTCAGAAAACTTCCAGTTACTTTAGAGAAGCGCGCGGGTCCCGCCGGCGTTGGCCCGTGACCTCCCTTCTACTTTAAAACAACGGGGAGCGACTGGGGGGAAGCAGTCGGCTGATAAGACCTACAGCAACACCACATTGTACCGCTGACTCAAAGGAAGTTAAAATACTGATTGAGAGGGATTTAAAAAGAGCTACTTACAGAAGGAGCCTGGGTTTTTCAAGTTACGGCTCTTTTCCTCTCCGTATGTACACAGATTTAAGTCATGAGAGTTTATTACGGCAGTGCATCTGCTTGTAAGCTGACGAGTTCGTGGCTTAAAAAACCTTGGTGAACTTTTCAATGTTGCCACTTCATTATTTTTTAAATTTTATTTAAAATCCTTTTTTTTTTTCCCATTGATCTTGAGAGGGAAAGATCTGTTGGTTGTGTCCTGCACGGGCCCTGACCGGGGAGGAACCTGGAACCCAGGTTCGTGCTCTTGACCGGAATCGAACCCGGAACCTTTGGTCCGCAGGCCCACGCTCTATCCACTGAGCCAAATCGGCTAGGGCTTGAGACAGGGTCTTCATAGAGGTACTATTGCATCTATTTAAAGAAAAGGACACTGAGGTTCAGCCTGTTCAATTAGAATAGCAGCCACATTTCAACATTTCCCAGATGTTGCAATATTAAACTGTGAGGGTTCGTACCAAATTTTAAGGCAAGAATTCTTACTGCCAAATTACAAATGAGAGGGGTGGGTGTTCAACCAAATTGCTGCCAGACCCCATAAACACGCACATCACTGCTATAAGTACACCTTATTATCCCCCTTGCAGCCTTATTTGATTCACTGCCGGATAAAATCTTTAATCTGGGGTGTCACTAGCTGGCCTTTTTCTGGGATTGAACAATCACACACCTCCCGTGCCTCGAATGGTCCAACTTTAGCTGCAAAAGGAATCACCCTATTCCAGTGTTCACAGTCCCTCTCTTCCTAAAATGCAACTCAGTCACTGAGGTTCTTTTCACCCCAGCTTCTCTAGGGACAAAGAAATGAAGAAGATGAAAACAAACATCAGAATTACAAGAAAATGTTCACCTTTGAAGAAAAGGATTTAGGCCAAGAAACCAAATTTGTTGTTTAATTCGAGCCCCCCTACCGGGATTTAGCATAGTGGGTTGAATGCAGTTAAACCAGCTTAATTATTTTCTTTGTTCTGGGGCTCTTTGCATTTATTTAGTGTTGTATTTTAACACGATTTGACACACCCTAAACTAAATTCTTCTGTTAGTGTAGAGCAGGGGTGGGCAAACTGTTTGACTCGAGGGCCATAATGGGTTCTTAAACTGGACAGGAGGGCCGGAACAAAAGCATGGATGGAGTGTTTGTGTGAACTAATATAAATTCAAAGTAAACATCATTACATAAAAGGGTACGGTCTTTTTTTTTAGTTTTAGTCATTTCAAACAGGCCGTAGTTTGCCCACGGCTGGCACTGTAGAGTCTACAATGTAGACCGTACAACATAACCAAACATAAGTTTATGTGGAATCTTTGACATATTGTAGAATTCTGTACTAAACTGCTTTATGGCCAACACTAAAAAAGTGGTATTGGGGTTTTTGGGGGGAGTAGGAAGTCATGTTTTCACTTTTTTTAAATCCAGAGGTTTTTAAAAGATTGGCCATTGTAGACCACTTAGTTCTTTTGATAGGATTTGTAACTCCACAGCCCTCACTAGGAGCCACATTTACTCATTTTTGTCCAAAAGCTTTTTATTTCCCTCAATGAGGGAGAAAAATATCTCATCCTCCTATAGATTCTAATTCTTCTAACATTTACTCTCCCTCTTAAATAACAATTCTACCCAGTTTCTCACCAGCCCCAGATTGAGGGGGCATTCATTCACAAATGACTCTTGAGCCTCCTGAATGTTTGCTTCCTTATAAAGCCAAAACTTCAGTACTGTGGCTCAATGAATTAAGGCTTGTAAAGATGCAGGCAGAAAAGCTAAGTCCCTCAGAGAAATCATCTTTTTTCTGTTTTACCTTTAAATTCTGTTCCAACATGCAGGAATAATAATATGTGTCCTTTACTATGTGTGAGCCAGGCACTATTCTAAGTTCTTGATATGAATTAATTCCTCACGACCGGTACAATTGTTGTGGTACAATTGTTGCCACTATTTTATAGATGAGGAAAATGAGGCAACATAGGAGTTGAGTTACTAGCACAAGATCATCCAGACTGGCACCCATAGAACTAGGATTTTGAACCCAGGCTGCTTCTATTTTGCTTCTTATTATAAGGCTGGTTATCAGTGAAGAGTCACCATTAATTCACCACCTTTTACATTTAAGATGTCCCCTAAATGAACAAGTCCTGGGCCATGTTTTTCCCTCTGGAACTTCAGTAAAGTGAAATTTGTTGAGATTTGCTTAGGAAAAGCATTCACAGATTAGATTATTGGAAGCCAGCCTCAAACTGTCAGCATATGCACTGTAAATGCTAACCAGGACAGACACATCCAACCTCTCCAGATTCAGAATATGCCTACCTCACATATAAAGAAGCAAGATGATTAGAAAGAGATTTGGATTCTCTGACATTGAACTAGGTAGAAACCAGGAGTTGAAGTGGGAAGAAATAAGGTGGTGGAAGCCAAGAGAAAAATAAATGTAAGATATGTGCCCATAGATCACTACAACTCCACAAAAAATGATGATCAAGGTCATGCAGGAAAACATGTGGGTGTGTTATGACAGAACTAGAAAAGGAACTTAAACATGAAAACCATAGCAAGGGGAGGTGGTGGGGTATCAGGTTGTTTTTCCCCCCATATGGAGCTGTAGTTTAATTAAATACAATTTTAGGCTGGATTAATAGAAATATAGCGTCTGGAACAAGGGAAGAAAGAACTCCACTTCATTCTGCTAGACCACATCTAAGTAACATGTTCACTTTCATTTTACTTATTTTATATACTTTTATTGAGAGGAAGGAAGACAGAGAAACATCAATGATAAGACAGACTCTTTGATTAGCTGCCTCCTGCACGCCCCACACTGGGGATTGAGCCTACAACCCAGGCATGTGCCCTGACTGGGAATCGAACCAGAACCTCCTGGCTCATAGGTCAACACTCAAGCACTGAGCCACGCTGGCCGGACACATGTTCACTTTTAGAGGAAAATAATTAAGAGCAACCAACCAACATAGTGAGGAGACTTGAAACCCTGGCTTATAAGAAAGAATTTTAAAAAATCACGAGTGATCTAAGGGCCTTCTTGAAATACCTGAAAGGCTATTGTGTAAAAAAAGAATTAGATTTGTCCTGAAAAGCTCCCCAAAACTGAAGGGTAGGAGCTTCAGAGATACACATTTTAGCTTAGAACATGGAAGAAGTCATATAAATATGAAATACTATCTTAAATGTAACATTCATCACTAGGAGCACTCAAAATGCATATGGTGGATGCACTATATAATGTTTAAGGTATCTTTCATCCTTGTTCTGCCATTCATTCACTTGGACTCTGTGAAAAGGGGGAAAACAATTATAACCTTCATTAGGTTGTTGAAAAGCTGATAGCATCCTGAAGTTCTAAGATTTGGTATTTCTACATTTATCAGTGAGCAATGATTTAAGCCTTATATAGATAGATAGATAGATAGATAGATAGATAGATAGATAGATAACATTTTTCGTCATTGTCAATATTATCCTGAATAGTGGCTTGGGTACCACTTGGCACCCTTAGGATATCCTAGTATCACTAAAACTTTAGTAGCATCCAGAGAGCAATATTGTGAATTCTATACTACTAGGATCTTAAAAATTGAATTGTAGTGCCATATTGCAATTCCAGAGGCAAACAATATGGTAAGATAATGTGGGGTGACTATAGAAAGGGTAGAGAAAATAAACAATAAAATCTGGCAGACTTGCCAAAACCGGTTTGGCTCAGTGGATATTTTAAAAAAATCTGGCAGACTGAGAGAACTCAAGCAGCACAGCTTTGTGTTAAAATTTGAAAAGCAATAGCAGAGGGGTCAGCCTTATATTTCACATGAAATATTCAGATGATATGGTTCATCTTAAGCAAAAATTGTCATGAAGCCCATGGAACCAACTGGATAAAGTTGGGTACAGAGACAAAGACAAACCAACCATGAACTAGCCAACTGCTCACCTGGGAAACTAGTTCTATAACTATTGTGTTATTTCCT